CAGCTGAGCGTTATAGTGGGCATCTGTACTCCCAGCTACTTGGAGGGTAAGGCAAGGGAATCACTTAAGCCCAAGAGTTTGAGGTTGCTGTGAGCTGTGACACCACAGCACTCTACCAAGGGTGACACAGTGAGACTCTGTCTCAAAAAAGAAAGAAAGAAATATATTTAAGGGACATCCTACAGTTCTGGCACATACTCAATGTTCTGTGATCACCTTGAGCTTCACACAGTAAGTAAAACTGTAAGACTGCAGAGGAAATTAGGTCCTGGGTCCCAGTGAGGCCACAGGTGAACACAGACTGAGCAGGCAGCCCCAAAGCAATGAAGATACCAGTGGTGACAGCTTCTGGATAGGCTGAGGCTATGCTGTGGAAACAGGAAGAGTAGGCTGTTGCCAGTTCCTACACATGCTGCTCATGTAGTGGGCGGGTAAGGGGAGGGTACTTGACATCCCTACCTGGAGTCAAGAATGTGCCCAGGATTGGCCTTTTACACCTGCATGCAGGACATGTTTATTCATCCAGGCATTGGAGATATGAGAGTTAGCAAAACAGCCCATTCTGCCCTCCTACGGCTGACGGGCTGTTGCAACACTGTCTGTAGAAATAGACTATGAGTCACATAGGTGATTTAATTGTTCCTACTAGTTACTTTAATAAAAGCAGAAAGAAACAGGATTGTTTTAATAATATATTGTATTTAGTCCAATACGTCTAAAATATTATTTGAACAAGTAATCCATGTTTTTTTGTTTTTGAGACAGATTCTTACTTTGTCGTCCTTGGTGGAGTGCTGTAGCATCATAGCTCACAGCAGCCTCAAGACTATTGGGCTCAAGTAATCCTCTTGTCTCAGCCTTCCAAGTAGCTGGGACTATAGGCGCTCATCGCAAGGCCTGGACTTTTTTTGGAGACAAAGTCTCACTTTGTCCCCCTGTGTAAAGTGCAATGGTGTCATAGCTCACAGCAACCTCAAACTCCTGGGCTCAAGCAATCTTCTTGCCTCAGCCTCCCAAATAATTGGGATTATGGGTACCTGCCACAATGCCCAGCTATTTTTTTAGGAATGGGGTCTCACTCTTGCTCAGGTTGGTCTTGAACTTCTGAGCTCCAGCAATCTACCTGCCTCAGCTTCCTAGGGTGCTGGGATTACAGTTGTGAGCTATGGTGCTTGGTCTTTTTTTTTTTTT